CTCTCCTCTACTGCTGCTCCCAGCTTTGGCTCCACAGACTTGGTGGACACTTTCCAAATGGTGCGCACTCCAACCCCTCCACTGGTGGACACATAGAACCACCGTGGTCTCCACCCCTTGATCGACGACGGCAGCCCCGCCACCAGCCCTTTCCCTGCTGCTGCCTGCAGAGTGACCCAAGTCTCTTGCTGCCCTGAGGCCTTATAACATGCGAAGAATTCGTCTACTGTCATGGTCGCCCCTTCGTTCGCCTTCGGCCATGCACTTGCACAGGCCAGTAAGATCTTCTATGCATTGGGCATTAGTTGGCCCGGCGCTACCTCCAAACGATTCAGGACATCTACCACCACTTGCGGCAGGGGCAGCCTCAGTCCTCCCTTCAATGCTTCCTCATAAAGGGAAAACTCCCCTGGCCTGGCGTCGGATGGCCTCTCCGTCGACATCGGCAACAATAACTCTATTTCAGCAGGCACCTAGTATTTTTTGCGAATAGCCTCCAAATCCGCTGCAGTAACCATTGATCTATCTGCCTTCGTATGCCAGTGATCTGGTTTTGCCTGGCTGATTAGCTTTGGAGTTGCTATCATGGTGGAACCATGGGATTGTACCACCAACTCCCCCACCCTCTCCATCCTATATTGCTGTGCTAACTCCACTGCATCATCATCACCAAGTGGATCGACCCTAACATTCGCAGCTTCTTCTTGGGCCATTTCTATGGTATGTCTGCGAATCGCTTCGACTGCAGGTGCAAGGAAATTGAAAAGGTGTTGCAGAGGTGTATCGTCAGCAACAAAGGAATTCACACTTGGAATATTTTCATTTTTCGTAAACAAGTAGGTGAATCGAATAATGCCAAAAGCCCACGGTTTGCCCGTATTCCAAGGATCCCAATTAATTTTTGCCAGTTTGAAGACTTTTCAAATCATCCGCCAAAACTATCTTTTCAACACCCATAATGACCTATCGTTTTATTTCTGATCTACCGCCTAATCTCTCCCTTGGCAGGATGTTGCCACGTGTATGACCACGATCCACTGTCTCCTCCCCTTACTCTGTCTTTTTCACTTCAAATCACCACGTGACACGCCGCCTCTCGAGCCCCATGCCCCTCTACCTCAGTCTTTGCGGTCGGCCCTCCTCGTGGTCGACCCTCCCACTCGACCAACCTTCACGGTCGGCCCTCTTCGCGGTCGGCCCTCCTCATGGTCGACCCTCCCACTCGGCCAACTTTCGCGGTTGGCCCTCCTCGTGGTCGGCCCTTCCACTCGGTCACCCTGCACGCTCGGACCACCTCCCGGTCGGTTCCCCCTCTCGGTCACCACTGCCGGTCGACCACCATCCTGCCAATCCCTAACACTAGGGGTGTGCATAATACCGCCGAAACCGCCGAAACCGCCAAAACCGCACCGAACCGCACCGCCAAGGCAAATTCGTTATTATTTATCAATTGAACCGCCGGTTTTTGGTAAGAAAAATGGCAAATTCTAGTGACACTTTTATCAATCCGCCGGTTTCTATTTTTCTTCCAAACCGCACCGACCCGCACCGCTATTAAATCATGTTTTATAGGATTCTAAAAATTCTTTTTTACTTAAGTTTGAAGAAGGAGACACCTAACAGAATATAGTATTACATTAATGCTCAAGGGGAATTCAAGATGTCAGTAATCCAAAATAAAGTTGGATTCCAA